ATATAGACATCTGTAATACATGTATCAGGACTTATGTTGATTGGTTTTACTTTAAATCCAAAACCCGGCCACTGGGAACCGACATCCACATGAGGGTAAGATGAAGGATCCTAATTGAAGGGCTGAACTGCAATTTTGATGTATCACTCTCATTTGTTTTTATGTTTCATATTGGAGGATATCACTAAATGGTTTTATAATAATTTCTATATTTTGCTTGTATTTCATTAACCCATTCAAGAGGATGCCTCCATGGTCCACCACCCCAGCGTCTTGGAACTGGAATGTGGTAAGGACTCTCACACTCCACTAGAAGAAAAGGGGGTAAAATGCAGTGGAGAGTCCAGAAGAATGACAACACCTGAGAAAGTGCAATGGGTGACCAGAAAATCCTATTTTTAAAAGCAGACCATACCGAATTATTCAATACAAGGCATGTTAGGGATGGGCAGCTATCCCCTTCTACTTTACCCATGTAGTCCAGGAAGCAATTCTACTGTGAGGATACATTTCCAAGAGATCTTATGGAACACCCCATCTCTGCAGTGTGTGTTGCGTGGCTTGACAGTGCAGATTTGAACAGTTAAAGAACAGAGCATGATCCAAATGATGAACGTTAGTAAAAGGGAAAAGGTCCTCTCAAACGAAAAAAAAAATAACATACCCAGTCAAAGTCTCACTGAATTCTGATATTCTAGAATGGCTACAGGTGAAAGAGGAAGAAAATCATGATCCACTGCAAAGAGTGAGACAAATGTAGTATGGGTAGTCCACATGCCCAATTGAAGAAGTACTTTCAAAGGATGATGAAGATGAAATGCCAATGAAAAGGTAAGGTGTTAAATTGGGTGAGAAGACACTCTGAATAAAGTATGGGAGGAAGGTGATAAAGAGGAAGAAGCCAAACAAATGTGTTAAAAAGAAGGAAGAGAAAGTGGCTAAATGGAGGAGTTATCCTCATGCATCACTGAAATGACCAGAGGAAAACCAGGCATGAAGACAGAGGACAGGAAGGTCAGGATGAAACACCGGTGACTGTGGATGTTGAAAAAGGAACAGGGACAGAGGAAAAGTTAATGGAGCAGGAATATGGAGCTGGGAAGCAGCAGAAACCACAGCTGAGATGGCCAGGAAAGAACTATCAGAAGGACTGAACACAGAGTGTTAAGGATGAACGAAACCACCCAGAGAAGAAGGAGAACTGGAGGATAGACAAATGTGTAGGTCCAACCCTGGCTGAAAACATCAATTGGCAGAGCAAGAAGACAAGAAACTGGTGACCACAACCAAGGCAATTTGTGGTTAAGGGATGTAGCAAAAGCATCAATGTGAGGAGTACCCCACTGAAGTTAAAGCCTCTGGAAAACAAAAGGATCGAGAGACCACTCCATCAGTTAAATGTTGTCTGGGCAGGAATCTCATCCATGACAAGAGCAAAAACACGTGGAACATGAAACTGACATGCAATGATAAGAATATTAAGCGTGTGGGCCAAAAAAAAAAAATCCAACATATGAATACAGAGGGATGCAGAATGGATGCCACCCTGGTGATTGAGATTAGCAACCATTATAAAAAAGTGGGAATGGATCATTATCAGACGATTTCTGGTCAGATGGAGAAAATGAACCAAAACACGACCAGGATGTTAATAGGATAAGACCTCTCAGCTGCAGACCAAAAACCCCGAATCTTCCAGTTGATCAACCTACACCCCTATCCCCCAAAGAGATGCTTTCATGAAATGTCGAAAACTGGATGGGGAGGAGGAAGTGGGATCCCCACCAACATGTGAGTCATATCTAACCACCAATGCCAATCACAGACAAGGGTAGGAGGAAGGGTAATAAGAGCTCACAAAAGATCCTTGCAAAATTCCAGTGGTTGTGAAAAAACCATGAAAGAGCCTGACCTAAGGGGCTACCATGGAGAGTCACATCCCCAAAGGGCATAGAACTTCGAGAGCTGAAATTGAACTGAAAACCCACAGAACGAAATTGAATAGGAGAAGTGCGGGCTCGACTGAGATGTGTGTAGAAAAAGAAAAACACCCAAAAGAACAAGGTATTGGATAGGTTATGGTAAGGACTTCTTCAACTTGATTAATAGCCCATTATACCCACCTCTAGGAGCAGCTGATAAGGATAATGGGCGGACTCCTGTTCGGAACTAGCAAACAGTAGCTAGTTGACCAAAGAAAGAAGAAAGTGCAACCCGAGAGCATATAAGTGATGAACGAATACTCTGAACACCTGACAAAACATCCAGGGCCGAAACTAGTCTGAAGGGGAGTACACAAAACAGAGAAACCACCCCGTGGAGAAGAAACCGAAGAGAGGGTCGCGAGTGACGAAATATTAGAATATGCAAATAATCATTTGCAAAATTCCTCTTTGTCATCAATAAACCTGGAGAAAAAGCCCACCTAAGTGTGAGAAATTATTCCAAGGTAAAATGGGGCAGATTGAAAATTAGAATGAGGCAGTATAAACCTAGCACAGGCCGCCAGTCTCCAGTTTGCCACAAGGATAACAGACAGTCTGGAATAAAAGCCTAGAGAAAGATAATGAACAGGTTATGGCCTGTAGAGACAGAAAATCTTGTACAGGTTTGGACAGATGCAGGCAGGTGACAGGATCCCAAGTCATGGGGAAGGAAAATGGTACCAGGGACAAAGGAGGGGGGAGGAATTGGATAAGTCCCTCTGATAAAACCCAAAGCACCCATGGAACTGTAGTGAAAGATCGTCAATGGGTAAGAAAAAATATAGTGAAGCTCCCACTGAACCAAAACACTCTGGTTAGTCTCTGGTGCTGTTGGCAACATGCTCATCAACGTTGAATAAAATAAGATGATAAACCCTGGAAGGGGACAGGTATGGATAAATAAGGACCAAGATGGGAAAGGAATAGAGT